AAATAATGCCAAACCCCAAACTAAAGTATTTACAAGATAGTCCCTTAAGCATAGTTTGTCATATTGCAATTACACCTTACCTACTGCCAAGTCAAAGTGCTTACTATTGCCACTAGGGGGAGAAATGTCTCAACACAAAGCAACAGCAGATAGAGAATGGGTTTTCTTGAGCAATTATCAGAACAAAGCTCCCTTGGCTGTGTGTACCTTCTAATTACTCAATACAATTAAAATGACTAACCTAAAACAAATAGGAAAAAAAAAACCCTGCTTGCCTGATATCAGGAACTTCATTAAACCTTTCCCCCTCATCAATCAAATCAGAAAGAAGGGAATGCCATCATATATAAACATTGCAGAGCTATTAAAGGAAGTAAATCAGTGAGTTTGTTTGTTTTTAAAGAAAGAAAAGAAGTGACTTCTTGAAGAAAGAAATGTCGTGGTATTTACCCATCTGGATGTTGCTTGAAAAAAATTGTCCTCCAAAGAGCAGAAATACAGTATGTTTTCTCTCAGTTCACTGGCTTATGAATGACTTTTTGTTGTTGTTTTGTTAATATACACTATAATGTCATTTTCTGTGTCAGTGATGTGCTTTTTCCTCCTACTCATCCAACTGTATAAAGGAGCTATGCCAATCACATCCATTCCTATACTGGGCTGTTTTCACTTTAAGTTCTTTACCACCGTTTTTTGTAGATCTACTCCAAGGCAATGTTTATTTTAGAACAGAGAATGGGGGGCGGGGGATGGTAGGCAACGGAAAAAGAAAAAGCTACTTATTCCTTTTAGACTTATGTAGTTCCTTCTATAAGGCCCAGTCATCAACAGAAGATGACCACAGAGCCATTTTTCTTTCAGCTGACAATTGTGACATTTTTCCAGCAGAGCACAAGGTGTTGAAAACCTGGCAGCTGTTACCTCCTGGGATGAAGATACTTTTTTATCCTCCCTTGACAGTTTAACTCAGTGGGTCAGCACCTTTAAAGACTGCAAAGTATCCTTGAAGAGGATGGAAGCTTGAATTACTGCTCCCTCCCTAATCAATGTAAACCCTCACTGCAGGTGAAGTCTCCATCTATAGAGGTGCATGGGGGAGGAAAATGTAACGCCCTGAGCCAGATGGTTTTTATCTTGTTTTTAAAGAATAAAGGAACAAGCTAACAAGGGAGACAGCTACTTTGTTAGCTTCTTGGCCTCTCTCATGGCTCCGCATCCCCAGGGTTCCAGCTACACAAGAGAAAGAATACAGAAAAACGGTAAACACTTAAAGAAATATAACTAGAGGGCTGGCATCATGCTGCTTTCAAAGCGTTGAGAGAGCTCTACTCAATGCTTTATTTATCACTGCCCACGTTCTCAAGGATGGTAAGTGGACACATACACAAAGAGAATGGGGGATGGGGAAAGGATTAGACAGAGGTCACAATTTACTCAATTACAGAGAAAGGCAGGGCTGACAGATCCTATTAGCACCAATGTGAAGCAAAGAAGGAGTTGATGTTGTAAGGCTACATTTTTAAAAAGTAATGAGTACTTTCATGTATCCTCCCAGGCCTTTGCCCTTGTTTGCAGATATGAATAAAAGCTATAAAAACAGCTGCTATGGTTTCCTTGGCTTCACATTTTAGGAATAAAAGTTAAAAGAAAAATTGCAGCTACTTTGTACATCCTTTAAATAAAAATTCACACGTCTTAATGCCAAAAGGTGAGATTATTCTGAAAACTCAGAAAATTAAAAGAATGCACTGCTTTAGTACCCGCTACCTCCCCAACTCCCTTGCCTCCTGGTGTTGGAAATGAAGTGGAAGAGCAGGCGCGCAAAGACCAGGTGACGCAGGGAGTGGCTTCCTCTGACTTCCTCCTTCAATATTTTCTTTTTCTGCTAATGTCTTTGTTAGGTTTAGGTTTTTGGAATTATGGTTATAGTGGCCTCATAATACAAGTCAGAAAGTCAGTGTTCTTCTCTATTTTCTGAAAGATTTGTATAAAATTGGTGCTATTTATTCCTTAAATGTTTGATAGAATTCACCATTGAAACCATATGGGCCTTTTGATAGTTAATTCAATTTCTTTCATAGTCATCGATAGGGCTATTCAGATTTTGTTTCACCTTGTGTTGCTCTCAGTGAATTGTGTTTTTCAAGGAATTTGTCCATTTCATCTAAGTTGTCAAATTTTTGGTTTAAAGTTGTTCTTAATATTCCATTATCCTTTTAATGTTTGTAAGAATTGTAGTAATAACCCTTCTTTCAGCTCCTCCAATAATTAAATAACTCTCCAAGTATATTCTATCAACAATGGTAAAACTGTACTTTAGAATAATAACACGTAAACTATAAAATTAGTTTAAAACATTACTAAATTGGTTAGAGTATAACTGAGCATTTTAAAATCAATGGAGAAAGAGTTCCTAAAATCCCATTAGAAACAGCTACAAAAGAAATCGTAAGTTAAGAGATTGGTCTACCTCATACAAATCCTACTTATATCGACACTAGGTAAAAGGCAGCAATGACTTCTTTTTATCTATGGAACTTTATTAAAGTGGGGGAGAAACAAGCCAATGGCACTTCATTATTGTCATATGCAATAGAGAAAAGAGGGAGTTTAAACAGTTTACATATTATGGCCTACATTTAAAAAACCAGCAGTGGGGTAATCAAGTTCAGGGCAGTCCTGGACAGCTGCCCTGTGACCCGCTTCTATTGACCCCTGCTATTCATCACTCTTCTCTAAGATTGAGAGGGCAAGCTCCTAGGGAGTGACCACCACAATAGACAGACACAAGCCAACAGTAATCTGGTTCGAGCAAAAAACCAGATGGCACTGCAATAAATTTACAAATCTGCATTCATGGGGCTGTTAAAACACCCAGAAGCTAAAAGGCTCTGAGAGCCCCAGGAGGATCTCCTACTTCCCTGTTTCTAAAGGCCATTTCTCTTTCCAAGAACATTGAGAGTTCATGCTCTTCACAAAGAGAATGGAGATAAAACCCTTCACAAAGAAAGGAGGGGGGAAAGCCTCATGACCTAATTAATCTCCAGAGCTTGGATCTCAACACTGACAGATATCCGAAAAATCATTCTGGAGCACAAGAGGAAAACAAAAACAAAAACAAAAATGGTTAAATTAAAGTGGAGGGGGTAGAACGAACCTGCTAAAAAGCAATGGAAAAAAAAAAACCAAACCATTAAATTTCTTTCAAATACTGCATACAACAGATCTTGCAAGTAGAAAATGATTCAATAGTGTATGCATTTATTTTTAAAATGAATCAGATTAGTCCCATGTGTGACCTGCTGGTCCATCTGTATGTGCTGGACTTAATAGGCACGATTCTCTCTCTTGCTTCAGTTTGAAGTATGAGAGAGATAAATTTAGTTTAATTTTCAACAGATCAGCCTATCCATTTTCCAAATGGACCATCTGGATCAGCCTATTAAAATTAATTTATAACTTTGCAGAGTGAAAATTCGTTTGTTAGCTTAAATAAAGTTGCCAAAACTTTTTGTGGTGTCATTGTTTTCTGACAGTTGTTTCCATACAGTGGGCAGAGTGTTTCCATCTCCAAATTTATCTTATTCAATATTGTTCTGTTTATTTACATTTACAGACCAGGTGTTGCTCTCCAAATAGTTAAAGTTGTAACTGCACAATATCAATTATTGATCATTTGGATTTTTTTTGTTTTTTTTTGTTTTTTTTTTTTTACAAAGCTTCCCGAACTGATTCAATTCTACTTACTAAACAATTGTTTTTATAAAAAATTAAAAAGTGCACATCCAATAACATATAGTAAATAAAAAATGAGTGTGTCACAGTTTCAAGTACGTACTTTCCCCCTAAATTAACACAAACTGGAGTCAGAAGGCAGAAGTAGAAACACTTTGGCAACACTGAGATCTGAGTTTTAAATCACTGACTAGCTACCTAAGCCATTGAACCTCCCTAAGCCTCCATTTTCTTCATCTATAAATTGGAGATCATATTGAGCAACTTTACAGGGTTATTGTGAGGATTAAGTGAAATAAGTATCAGATTCATGGTGGGCCTCAGCAAATATTAGAGCTCCTTTTCCTTAGAATAATGCCATAAATGCAAGTAAATTACAATTATTTTTTCTACTGCTGGTGCTCATCCTATTCAGTTTTATATTAAAAATGAATTGGTGGGGGCCGGCCGAGTGGCTCTGTTGGTTAAGAGCTCGCTCAAGAGTTTGAGCTCTGAGCAACAGTGGTTTGATGCCTGGCCCGAGCTGAGCAGCCGCTGAGCTGCCAACAGGTGGCAGGATGGCTCAGTTAAAAAAAAAAAATGAATAGGTGATATACCTATCCTCTGGCAACAAGCAAGAACTTGTTTTTGCTGCCAGTGGGAGATGGAAGATGTGAGAAATTGTTACAGGAAGTGAGAAGAGAAAATTTTTTGATGAAATGTTTTTGGACATTTTAATTTTAAAAAGAAAGCACTATGGAATTGAACTTTCAAAGTAAAATGTGTTATCTTTGGAAAATGTGGGGAGACTGGTGAGTAAAAAAATTTTTTTAAGTTGTCATCAATAATGGCCTTTACTTCTAGAAAAAGCAAAGAAATATTGCTCAGACTAAAAGGAGCTAACTTCCCTATAGGCAGATCACTTTTGATTATTAATTTTTTAAGTGTATGGAGAATCTTAAAAGGAAAATAAGGTTTAAAGTCAACTATTCTACTATCTGCACTTAAGAGGCATTTCAAGTTATTTTTCCTAAACAAGAAACCTTTCCTTTGATTTTGTTTTTACTACACATAAGCAATTAACTGTCCTGTACTGTATACCTAGAATATTTTTAAATGATTGAGGGAAAAACCTTACCTGATTGAAATTGATGGCTATAGCCAGACCAACTTTAGAGTACTCTTAATTTAAGATCCAGTGCTTAATGAATGGCAAATAGAGGGTTTCCTGTCTTTTTGTTTTGTTGTTGGTAGCCTTTTATTTTAAGTAAGACTGAATTTCATACCTGTCTAAGTGAATTCTTCTCTGGTATTATCTTCCTAGGGGGTTCGCCATTATTACAGTCTTCTCTCTCTGAGGAATTCTGTGAAAGAAAGTAAGCTTTAATTCAGTTCTCATTATCTTCAATCTTATTCTGTGGGAGTAAACTGAATTACAGTTCTAATTCTGTAAGCTAGAATACCATGTATATTATGCATTTATTCATTTGAAGATTTATATACATACAGACATACACTTATGTAAAGGAAAACATATGCCCATGTATATAAATAAGTGTACGTGTATATAGGGATCTATGTGGGAAGCATTTCATCTATATTTAGGCACTGCCCAGCAGATGATATTCATTAGTCTGGTGTATTGCTCTTTGAAAATGCAGGTTGATACTGGACACAAGAAAGCGCCAGTCTACACTGAGCTGATAACAACTTAAACTATGATTATTACCTTTGCTTGTAAATAATTAGTTTTAAACTACAGTAAATGTTTGGTCAGTACAAGTTCTCAAAGTCTGGATCCTAAAAAAATAGTTCTTTCTCTTCCTCCTCTTCTCAGATTTAATTTTCTTTTCTTTATTGAAAATAGCATAGTGCTGAGCTCAAAACAACCTTCCAGTCAGTGGTTTAGGATTAGGGTCCATTCTTGCCACTATCGCTTCACACAGCTGCTAGAAGGCCCTAAAATGTCAATGAGATTTTTAAATACTTAAGAGGGGAAAGAAACAACAGTCCAACTGAAAGCAAGTTCAGAGTTCTAAATATCAACAGAGCAAAAAGGCAATCCACAGAATGGGAGAAAATATTTGCAAATTGTATATCTGATAAAGGATTAATATCCAGTATAGAGAAATTGTAAAACTCAACAAAAAAATAAGCAACCCAATTCAAAAATGGGCAGAGGACTTGAACAGACATTTCCCTAAAGAAGATTTACAAATAGCCAAAAAGATGTTCAACATCACTAATCATTTTGGAAATGCAAATCAAAACTACAAGGATATACCATCTCACATTCATTAAGAAGGCTACTATCAAATGAACAAACAAATAAAAAACCCCAGAAAATAACAGGTATTGGCGAGGGTGCTGAGAAATTGGAACTCTTATGCATCATTGGTGAGAATGTAAAATGGTACATTTTTGGAGGTGTGCTATGGAAAAAAGTATGGTGGTTCCTCAAAAAATTAAAAACAGAATTACCACATGGCCCAACAATTCCAGTTCTGGGTATATACCCCAAAGAACAGAAAGTCTCTCGAAGAGGTATTTGTACATCCGTGTTCATAGCAGCATTATCCACAATAGCTGAAACATGGAAGCAATCCAAGTATCCATGGATGCATGAGAGATAAGCAAAATGTGGTATACGGTATATGCTCGTACACAATGGAATAATATTCAGCCTTAAAAAGGATTCTGACACATACTACAACATGGATGAGGACACTGTGCTAAGGGAAATATGCCAGTCACAAAAAGATAAATACTGTATGATTAGACTTATATGAGATACTTAGAATAGTCAAAATCATAGACAGAAAATAGAATGGTGGTTGCCAGGGACTGGGAGAAGCAGGGAATAGGGAGTTAGTCTTTAATGGGTATAGAGTTGCAATTTTATAAGATGAAAAAGTTTTGGAGATGGATGGGGGTGATGGTTGTAAAACATTATGAATGTATTTAATACCACTGAACTGTACACTTATGTACTGTAAACTTTATGTTATATATATTTTACCACAATAAAAAATAATTGAAAAAAAATCTGGTAATCATGTAAATGATTATCTGCAAGGCAAAATACAGGAAATACAAATACAAATTATTTGGGTTCTATTTTCCACAACTACATTTGTAATGTTAGTATTTAAAAATTTACAGTTGATATACTCATTACATTACATATATTCATCACATTCTAACTGGGGAGTTACTTTATTTTCAGATTGAGAAATTCTTTCCTACATATGAGTTTATCTGAAAATTTTTATACGAGTATGAAATCATTAGGATCATAACTGTTTTAAATTTAGATATTATATTTTTTTGGTTTGCATCAAATATTATATTTTTTAAGGCCCTTGCATCTCTGTAGCTGACATCTATGTGCTGTGTGTGTCATCTTTACTTGGCCTGACAGGTTGGAACTAAGGTGTTCCTTTTGGGCAGAAATCTCTTAAGAAATTTAACTCGATATTTTAATTTTGTGATGACCTCTTTAAGGTAAAGGTACCTAAAATTAAGACAGAAAGAACATGCTATGATACAAGCAAGGGACAGAGACTCAATAACTTAAGAGTTCTGTTTTTCTCTGTTTTGAAAAAAGTATGTAGATTACCTACAAAAAAATGGGGGAGAGATATAGTTGAGTATATATAAATGAGTATAAAGCATTACAAATAAGGACACTAGCAATGTATGCATTATAAGAGATCAAAAGAGGGCAAAGGTCAATTTGTATAAAGACATACATCTTTACTGCATTTCACAGGTATTGCATTTTTTATAAACCTAGGATGATAGTAACTATCTAGCCCATACCCACAATTTTCTTCCTCCTGACCCCCTATTTTATCTGATTTACATAGATGGGGAACTACGAGTGGGTATTATGAGAATGTCTAAGATATAAATGGTGAAGGGAACTTAAAGGATAATTACTGCCTGAGAGCAGAACACAATGCTAAAGAGGAACTCCTTTCCCTCCTCCACCTCATCAGGGCAAAGGATATCTACATACACATAAAGAGAAAAACAAATATTGTTCTAGCTTGTTCTTTTTAGATAGATTAACCCAATGTTTTTTACTCTGGACCACCATGAGAAAGAAAATCAATACAAAAAATTCAACTCTGTTGTTACATAAAATAGAGGTAGCAACGTTAAGCAGTCATGATATCAGGAACAAGGAGTAAGGTACCCTCTTCCCACTAGTGAAGAGGAGAGCCAGACAGCCATGAATAAGAGATGAATAGCTCTACAAGTCTTGAGGGTGGAGATATACATGAAACAGCCATGTATATCTAAATGGTCACCTCAGTGGTTCTCAAAACCTGTGCACTCTTCAGCACCTCCCAGGAGAGCTCAGTCAGCACTGTGATTCCTTGTATCTTTATCTATGATGAATCCCAATAAGCGATGTTCACAACTGCCCTGGGTCATCAAGCTAAATTATGTCCAATAAGTTCCATTTAAGGGTAACTAATTGATGCAAGCAAGACTGTCACACAAATTAGCAGATGAAAGACACGGTAACAGATAGTTACACAATGTCAAAATATTTCTCCATAAGATACTTAATAATTACAAAAGGAAAAACAGTAACCTTACAGTGGAGAGATCTGGCAGACACCAACTTAACATTATTTGCCTCTTGACAGGATATACTGAGAAGAACACATTATTACTTCTGAGGTAACCTTGCCCGAAACACATAACCTCAATCTGATCATGAGAAAACATCAGGCTAAACCAAATTGAGGGACAGCTATAAAATTATTATTCTGTGCTAAACAAAAAAAATGTGAAGGTCATGAAACACAAAGAAAAACTAAGGAACTGTTTCAGGTTAAAGGAAACTAAAGAGACATAAAACTGAATACAATTTGTGATTTGAGATTACTTGGGGGCTGCAACAAAATTGATAGTAAACTCCTCTATACTGAAAATCTGAGCCTAACAGGATGAGTAGTAACTATCTAGCTCATATCCACAATTTTCTTTCTTCTGACCCTCTATTTTATTTGATCTTGATAGGTAACTACTGAGTGGGTGTTATGACATAATGGTATAGAGGACATTATTGGAACAACTGGAAAAATCTGAATAAGGTCTATAGATGAGCTAAGAACATTGTATCAATGTTAATTTCCTGATTGTTTCCTCACTTTCAAAATTTACATACAGAAAAATTCACCCTTTCTTGGTGTATAGTTCTATGAGTTTTGACAAAAGCATAGTTGTGTAACTACTACCACAATCAAGATGTAAAGCAGTCCCATCACTCCCCAAATTCCCTGGCACTGCCCCTTTATTGTCAACCCCTTTCCAAAATGATAACTGATTTATTTTTTTGTCTTTTCCAAAATGTCATAAAATGGAAACATATAGTATATATATATTTTTTTGAGGATGTCTTTTAGCATAATATATTTGAGATTCATTTGTGTTGTTGCATATAACAGTTCTTTTTATTGCCAAGTAGTATCAGTGTATGACTGTAACACAGTTTGCTTATACATTCAATTTCCTGATTTTGATCATTTGTACTGTGATTATTTAAAAGAATGTCCTTGTTTTTAGGAACCATAACAATGAAACATTTAAGGGTAAAGGGTCATTATGTCTGTAACTTTCAACTGGTTTAGATAAATAATAAGTAAATGATGTGAATATATACACATGTGGATGTATAGAGATAAAGCAAATGTGGTAACATGTTAACATATGGAGAATTTGTGCGAAAAAGTATAAGGGGATTCATTGTACTATTCTTTCAACTTTTCTATAAATCTGAAATAATGTCAAAATAAAAATTCAAAATAGATGAAACAGAAGAAAATATGTTAAGAAATAGAAAAACGGAAGTCAGGTAACTGAAGAATAAATTTTGGAGGGGAAATTCCATCAAATATAAAATAAAAGTTGTATTCTACCACTTAACCCTGAGCCAAGTAGAAAAACCTGACTGGGGGCCGGCCGAGTGGCGCGATGGTTGAGGGCTCGCTTGGGATGCCAGAGGGCCCCGGTTCGGATCCCGCATGTGAGGGCCAGTGGCACTGCCCTCCGCAGCTGGGATGCTGAACAGCAGCTCGACCTGGGGCTGGGCTGCCGTGGGTCTCCGGAGACGGCGTGGGCTGCAGCCCCTGTGGCGGTGGGTTGCCGTGGGCTGCCGTGTGTGGCCGGCGGCCAGCGTGAGCGGCCAGCAGCCAGCGTGAGCGGCCGTCCAGAAGCCGGCGACTGATCTGCCTCGCCAGAGAGGAGCGCAGTGATGGTGCCAACTTGGGCCGGTGGGGCGGCGTCCTCCACAACTAGATTGAAGAGCAGGGGACGACAGCGGCTTGTCTGTTCCCCTTTCCCCGGT